TCTGGGCCAAGTTGGATCTTGTCAATGCAGACAAACGATTGACACCCTGTGTAATGAACCGTCCTCACTCTCTTTTGTTTTAATGGGTTTCCTTGGTTGCAAGTTCAATTTTTGGTTTTTCAGGCTGAACCACCACGGATTGCTTCGCACCATGCTCCTTCTATTCCCGCATTTGATAATTCCGACGTTCTTCTTCTACCATTCCTTCCTACGATTTACTATCAGTTCGTTAACATTTAATAAACATTATTCAAACAATTATATTTTCATTATTCGATATGAATCCCTTCAGTGATAATCACACATCTCCATTCGATGAGATGGACGCTCCTTTAGGAAATATCTATCAAGAAGTTCTTCGACCCGCTCCAGCACCTCTGATTCCAATCCCGGTCTCTTGCAATCCAACCGGCCTTCCCCGCTCGGACGTTACAATGGTGGCAGCGGTGGGATGCCGGCCCTTTTTCCCCACCGTCATTCTTCACCAACCATCTTTTTTGCATACCCAACCTCTCGTACCTCCACACCAAGCCCCTAATACTCCTAATACCCTTCTGATCCCCCAACCTTCCGACCTGGCCAAAACTTTAGACAATGGCTTACTTGTTTAGCCATTTTCCTGGCAGATATCCCCTCTGACGAACCCACCCGCTATACCCTCAGTTTCCTCGATCCTGATGCCTGTGAATTAGCTCTTTCCTCCGGAATCACCCTTTCTACACCTTTCAACGAAGTCCAAACCATCCTATTGTCCCTCTTCGACAACCAGCTCTCGGCCGGTGACGCAGCAGTCTACTTTAACGGCCTGAAACGACAACCTCAACAATCCCCCGCCGAGTTCACTCTGGAGCTTATCCGCTATGCACGTATAGTTTACCCCGACATCCCCAAATCGGCTCGTGACCGCCTGATTCTTTATCATTTCATTTCCGGCCTCCGTGACCGTACCGTTACTGTCCATTTCCTGATCGAAACCCCACCCGACCTTCCTACCGCCATCCAGCTATGTCGTCAGTATACGGACCACTACATTGCCCCTGCATTAGCTCAATCCTCCGAC